ACATAGTGTGTGCCAGGTCAGTAAGGGCTACATAGTGAAACCATGTCTAAATAAAAAAATTCTCTCTCCATGAAGTATAGAATAGAAACCTTACCTCCAATTATGTTACTCTCTTCTATAACTTTCTTAAAATATTCCCAATAGATAGCAAGAAACAAATCAGATAATGTCAAGATGTGTGCTTCAACTGTCAAACAATACTAATACTCAAAAAGAGACAGATAATCTGGGAGTGGTGTGATTGCCTTTAATCCCAGAATTTGGGAGGCAGAGGCAGGCAGATTTCTGTGAAATCCAGGCCAGCCTGGTCTACATAGTGAGTTCTAGGCTAGCTGTGGCTACAGGGAGATCCTGTCTCAAAAAGATTAAGAGAGAGAGAGAACGAATGTATTTCCTCCTTGTTCTTTCGTCCTTCCTGATGATCCAAGCTTCCTTCATTTTATTTATTGTTCTTTCTTCCTTTTTGATATTCTAAGCTTCCCTCTATTATTCCTTTCTATTGGGAAAATATCCTTTAGTCATTCTTTTAGGGTAGCTGTGCTGTGAACAAATTTTCTTAATTTTCCTTTGCTTGAGAATGTTTTGATTTTCCTTTCACTCCTGATGGATATTTTTTATGGGCTACAGAATCTGAAAGAACAGTTCTTTCCTTATGAACCTGTAAAATGTATCATATACTTATAGCCTCTATGGCTTCAAATGAAAAAAAAATCACTATCACTCAATCATTTTTCCCTTATACATGTGTCATTTCTCTCTAGCTGCCTTAAATTTTTTTTCTGTCTTTAGAAATTTTACTGTGATAGGGGCTAGAGAGATGGCTCAGTGGTTAAGAGCACTATCTGCTCTTGCAGAGGCCTGGTGTTCAGTTCTCAGCACCCACATGACAACTAACAACCATCTGTGACTCCAGTTCCAGGGGATCTGATGCCCTCTTCTGGCCTCCATAGGCATTGCACAACACAGGTACCCTTACATACATGTAGGCAAAGCACTCATACATATAAAATAAACAAACAAATTTACTGTGATGAACCTCGACACCAATTTTCTTCAGTTTATAATATGAAGTCCGCTTGGCTTCATGAATCTGTGATTTTATATCTCTGATTAAATATGGGAATTCATTTAGCCATTGTTTCTTTAGCTTATTTCTGCAGCTCCAAATCCTTTCTCCTCCCTGTTTAGAACTCCAATTAACACAAATGTTAGCTCTTTTGTTGTTGTTCCACAGGTCCTCAAGACTCTATTCGTTTTTTTCCCAATCTATTTTTTGGGGGTGGGGTCTTTCTGAGACAGGGTCTCCCTGTAGCTCCAGCTGCCTGGAACTCACTCTGTAGACCAGGCTGGCCTCGAACTCATAGAGATCCATCTGCCTCTGCCTCCCAAGTGCTGGTATTAAAGGTGTGCGCCACCACACCCGGCCCTGGATTTGTTTTATTTTTAATTTTGTGTGTGTGTGTGTGTGTGTGTGTGTCTGTCTGTCTGTCTGTCTGTCTGTGAATATGTGCATGTGAATGCAGGTGCCTGGGGAGGCCAGGAGCATAGGATCGCTCTAGAGCTAGGGTTACAGGTGGTTGTGAGCTGTCCAATGTGGTGCTGGAAATGTAACTTAGGTCCTCTGCAAAAGCAATATGAGTTCTTAATCACTGAGCCATCTATCCAGCCCCCCAGAAAGAAACTTTTATTATTATTTTTTTGAGACAAGGTCTCCCTATAAGTCCCAGCTGGCCTGGCACTCACTATGTAGACCAGAATAGCCTTGAACTCACAAAGATTCACCTGCCTCTGCCTCCAAAATGCTGGGATTAAAGATGTGCACCACCACACCCAGCAAGAGCAAGTCTTAAGTTTTAAGTTATACAATGTTTTGAGTAGCATGAGAAACTCTCATGCTATCCTTGCTTCAACTTGACTTAGATATGAACATCCCCTTATCCAGCATAGCCATACTGTACACACTGCCACCCATTAGACATAACTTTATTACAGTATATTACAACTGTTCCATTTTATTACTGTTGTCTTTAATCTCTTATTGCACCTAATTAATAACTTTAACTTTTATTATA